GTTCATCACCGAAACAGCAAATGAGCTGGTAGAAATAGAGATACAAGTGTGAAGGTCACCCCTGGTGCCTCCCTATCTCCTCATACAGGTGCACTTGAAGCCTAGTGGCCAAAGAGTAAGAAACCTGCAAGGGCAGGGGAACCCTCGCTGCCCGTGAGCTCTTCTTTATTCTGCTGGGCTGGAACTCAGCATTTGGGGATCTACGTACTGTCATGAAGGGAATTCCCCTTCAATGGGAAATCCAAACTCCTATTCTAAAATGGAGAAGTTCTGAACAGTGAGGTACTAGCCTGTTCTGCATTAAAATGTAATTGTTGACTGAGGCAAAATTTAGGGAAACAGAGAAAGTAGTTTTTCCTTCTCATCGGCCATCAGACAAAGGGTAGAAAGTCTTGATTCCAGGTAAGGCTGTCTGGTCAAGGACAGATCCTTGGGTTGTAGATCAGGAGCTAAGGAGAGAGACCATCCCTGGTGATCTTTCTCCTCTCCTGAGGAGGGGTGTGCATTTGAACCCCAAGGACAATAATCTAGTGGTGGATTTAAAATATTTCCCCACCTCTGCATCATTATTTCTTTCCTGTTATCCCAGGAATTCAGTAAAATTTTGTAGAACTTTCTTAGCATGCACTGAATTATGAGAAGTGACTTATCCACACCTGATGAAGATTGAGTTGAGAAAAGGGAAAATCATCACAGATTCAGAACACATTATGAATCTCAAGCAGGCTAAACACAGAGGAAAGTATACCTAAGCACATTGCAGTAAAACTGCTGAAAACCAAAAACAAAGGTAAAATCATAAAAGCAGTCAGAGAAAGAGATGCATTACTTTCAGATATGATAACAAGACTGGTAGCTGACTTATCAGAAGCAATGAAAGTCAAAAAAGGAATAGAATGCTACCTTCAAAGTGCTAAAACACTACCTAACCTAGAATTCAATAGCTTCAAAAACATCTTTCAAGAACAAAAGGAAAACAAAGACATTTTCAAACAGATAAGAACCAGGAGAATTCAGCAGCAGCAGACCTACACTAAAAGGAAGTACTGAAAGTGTTTTCAGATAGAGAGGAATGGTCCGGAGGGAAACTAGAAGATATATATCAATGGTAGAAGTAGATAAATAAAGATATTCATACAATGGAATGCTCAAAAAATATATATATAAGAATATGTATATGTAAATGGGAACATTGTTTCCAATAGCCAAAACATTACTATCCAAATGTCTGTCAATATTCATACATGGAGTACTATGCTGCAATAAAGGTTAATAGACTTACACTCCCATCAAAGACGGAATAATAAAGACTGGACACCCTCCTGCCTGAAATAATAATTCAAACAAGGACAAAATGTATGAAAAAAAGTTTCAAGGCATTGGATACCAGGCAATGAATGGGATCCTTAGAGGCAGAGAACACATGTAAGCCCTACAATTGCCCCTACTGCCTGGAGGGAGTTTCCAGGCCACCCCACACGGAGGGCGAACCCAGGTGCAGCCTGGAAGTCTCCCTGGGTTGAAGAGATGGAGCTGTGAGTCTGAAGAGGCTAGCTGGCTAGAGTTTACAGGGCAGAGCACCAGAGATGAAAGGGCTGCAGAGAGAGAATTCTGGAGATGTTCAGAGGGTCCCTCTCAAGTGTTAAGCTGAGTTTTTGATCAATGCATGCAGTGGAGTCCAGACTCTGCCACGGTCTATCAATCAACAAACCTGTTCTGAGCACCTACTATGTGCCAAAAGCTGAGGAGGGATGTGGGAAGCCAGAGCTGAGGCAGATCTGTTCTTGCCCTTATGGGGTTCCTAGCCTAACTGAGGAGAGAAACCACACACCCCCAGCAGGCACATCCCGCCCGGGGAGTCTGAGCTGAGAGCTGGAAGAATGGTTCAGAGCAGACGTGAAGAGAAAAGAGGGTTAGCTGTCCCAACGTGTACCATCCTCCTCCCTGACCCTGACCCCAGCACTAGGCCATGCGGGGACACAGTGATGTGGGAGTCACAAACCAGGTCTCTGGGGCTGCAGCCAGGGTCCTAGGAAGAGTCTGAGGAAGCGAAGACTCCCATACATGGGAAGAGGGGAGAGCCCGGGGCCAGGAAGTGGGAGCTGGTACCCATCCCCACTCTGTTTCTGGATCTTTGTGTGAGCTTAGAGGTCTGTTGGGTTGCACCCCCCAGGCCTACAAGTCTTGTGCTTGCCCAGCTTCAAGACCGAAAAAAAAGCTGGGAGTCAGCAACGGAGACCGCAATGGTTTAATGGATCGGGGGTCTTACATGTCTAAAACGAGGACCTGGAGCAACACCCCACTGCGTGCGTGGATGGTGGGCAGGACAGGCGGCACCGTTGGGGGCTGAGGGAGGTTAGCAAATTATAGGGGGAACTGACCTCAGGTTGGCTCAGCAGTTACCAGGGAAACCTGCAGAGGGGCACACCCCTCACCGCCACTTTGATAAGAACAATCACTAGCTGGGACCTGGGGCCAATATGTAGGAAGGTCAGTCAGGTGACTAGGGCATAAGTGAAGCAGGCACTGGTTGAGCAGGGGATGTACAGAGAACAAGACAACAGCCATCTTGGGTGGCCTGACCATACTAGGTCACTGCCCTCTCTGGGTCCCAGTTTCCTCATCTGACCCTGGGAAGGCTCTCTAAGCTCCTTTTACTCTGATGGAGGTTCCCACAAGCTGAGCTTCTGAATCTCAGTTTCTCTTGCCCACAAAGGGACCAATAATCCCTGTCTATCCGTGGGAGAGCCTCCCAATCAAGAGATCATAGTTTCCTCCGGCTACTGCCAAGACAGGAAGAAGCCCCAGGAACGTGTGCAGAGGTGAGGGGACAGGTGGTGAGGCGACAGGCAGTGACTGACAGGGATGAGGCAAGTGCTTTCTGCCAACCCAGCATCCCACTTTTATCTCTCCCCAACTCCCCAACTCCGCCACAACCCAGTCGGTTTTTCTTAGTTCCTAGAATTCCATGCCTCCTGCTCAGTCCTGTGGTTTCTCCAGGGATGATTCAGGAATACAGGGTGGCAGCCATCTTGTCAGGAAGTTGCAACACCTACCGTTCTCACATCTACCACACCCGCTAGTCTTCAAACTTGACGTGTACTTTGCGTCCTGTCGGGACCCATCCTAGGGTGTCCTCGGAGAACAATCTGGCTGTGCTGTCTATAAGCCGATTTCACTCACACTAACTCCCCAGAACTCGGTGACCTCCCTCCCCGCACACCCTCCTGTGTCCTGAAGGCCTCCAGAGAACGCATCATTCTGGTTTATGGACAGGAAAACTGAGACCAGTGAGGAATCCTGGTTCTCATCCTGCCAGGAGGGAAGGGAGAGCCCCGGAGGGGCTGCAAACAGAGGAGGGGCCCAGTGTATGGTGATGATGGCTGCTTTGTGTTTCACGAGAACCCAGCAGTGAATTTCTGTCAGGTAGGAGGCCTCCCCTGACATTCCTGATCTTCTCCACACCAGTCATGCTGACTCCTTCTTCCCCCTCCCTTTATTCCCTCCTCAACCCCAAATCTCCCTTCACTCCCCAGGTGCTGTCCAGAGTCTAGCCTTGGGGGTGATGGCTGCCCTGCTCCCCCAGAGCCAGCTTCTGCTCAGAGCAAGCCACTCTCACCCCTTCACCTCCCTGCCGCTGGCCCCCTCCCAGGAGACTGCAGCTGAGGCTGTGAAAACAGCACCTCCCCGCCATCCTTTCCTGCACCCCCGACCCGGCTGGGCCACCTCATGCCATCCTTGTCTGGCTCTGCTTTCCAGGCCCCACCCACCCTGAATCAAGCTGACTGAGCCCTGGGAAGCTGAGCAGTTGAGGAAGCACTGAGGCCTTGAGCACGACCCCTGCGCCTCCCACCACCCAACCTGCTTTCCTGGTCTGTCTGCAAAACCCTCCCCACCCCACCCCAGTCCTCGCCACCCAAACTTCAAGAGCCCCTGAGCCCCAGCTTCCTCCTGATGCCCCTTCACACTCTGGCTTGTTCCTGCTCTGACTCTCCCTCCTCATGGAGCAGGACCAAGCCTCACAGGGCTCTCTCCTCCTTACTTCATACCCAGAGGAGGGGTTCTGCCCACACCTGACCACAAGGCTGGTCCTGTCTTCCCAAGGATCCTTCTGTAGAGGGAGGCCACTCGGTGGGCAGACACCCCCAGCGGACATGGGGTCTCACTCAGGTAGAACTGATGGATCTCAATCCTGTTTGGAGAGGCGCTGAAGGAGCTGGAGGCTCCAGAGAAAACATTTCCCATCTTGCCTGTGGAGTTTGTCTAGAGAGTATTCAGTCTACGTCAAGAGTGTGTCTGTGTGTAAAAGAGAATGAGCATGTGAGTCTGTGTGTGCGAGGGTGTGTGTTTGTGAGCATGAAAGGCGCGTGCACCAGTGGATGGAGTGAGGTTAGCCCCCACAACCCCACCCACCCACTCACATGCCCTTCTCAGACCTCTGGGCAGATGAGGACAGCAAGGGTTGAGCGCCACCTGGTGGCCAAGAGCTGCACTACAAGCCACCATCCTCTACGCCTTTTCTCATGTCCCTCCTGCCCCAGCAACACAGGCACACAGAGCTGATCCCAGACCCTTCTCTGGGGACCCAACCCACTTGCTCACCGCCCCTACCCACCACGACAGTCCTGCAGAGGCAGAGACCCTGCCTGCTGAATCTCCTTCCTCTAGCCTAGAGAAAGAGCCCTTGGAGGAAAGTCAGGCTCCCACCCAAACTTGGCCAATAACTTAACCTGAACCTCAAGCTTCCTGGCTACAGAATGAGTTAATAGTATCTACGCCACAGATTCCTTGTGAGGTTTCATGTAAAATGAAGCTATTAAGTTGGGAGGGCAGGGCAACTACAAAAAGCCCTGGGGCCAAGCCTTGTGTTCTCCGACCTGGGGAGCGGAGCCGGCAGGCGTGGCCCGCCTGCCATCCGCCCTCCCCGGCTTTCTCCCGCCCCTGTCCCCTGGCAGCCCCAAACAGCTGCCCCACCCATCTTCGCAGGGAACTTACCTCACCTCCTGCCGGAGGCTCCACTCCACACGTGGTTACCGGTAAGGGTGGCGCTGAGCGGCTGCCCACGGTTGTTCCCCGCGCGGCACCATTTTCCCGGGCACTTGCTAGCCCT